AGAATATTTTTTCCGTCACACTTTAATTCCTTTTCAAAACTCTCTTTCGAGTTATGAGCGCGTCGAAAACCCTTTTGAAGGAGCTAGAGGTGTCTAACCTATGACATTGCATGAAAAACAAAAAAGTGAAGAGAGAAGATAACAAGTAGGTTCTCACAGTATTCAAATATTACAAGAAGGAAAATCTATATTTACACACAACCCTTTGTCACTTCCAACATGTTTCTGTTTACTCGACTACCGTACGTCCAGTCTCTCTCTCTCCAAAAATTTTCTTATGTGACACGCTTGTGCTCTTTGCACGCTGTAAGCAGGGCTACCCCTAACCCTGACCCTGAAACCATGTGGTTTTCGTTTCGGACTGCGTGGTGCACCGCTGTTTTATATTTTTGTGCATGTTCGCAGCCGTTTGGAGGCAGAACGAGTGAGTATCGCTTCCCGTGTCGTGTTGGGTGGCGGGTGGGGTGCGCAAGACGAAATGGGGAAGAAGGGCGAGGGGGCTAGGGTTTAAAAGAGAAATAATGTAACTCATCACGCGTGTCGTTGGGAAGTCCGTTTGTCGTTGGTGACCAAGAGGCGCGTGTCCGTTTCTTTTCTTTTTCCTTTTTTTTTTTCACTTTTGACTATTGCGGTATTCACCCTCTGGCACCTCCCATTATCAGGGATATCCCGTGAGATTTTTCCATTTGCGCACGACGACATACTGGATAAGATTGCGTAAACGAGATGCTGCGAACGTGAAATGCTGCAATTGGGTACCCCTTTGGGCGAGGAATAATGTACCTGTTATCATCCATCTCGCAAAATTCCCGCAGCAATGGAGCAAGATTCATTTCTAAACAGTTATCCCTCACCGCAAATGAAGAGTGCGACCCAAGGGGGTGGGTTTAGAGGGCAGCGCAATCGTTTGGGTGAGACCCCAAGTGTGTAACGGATGCGTCTGCCCAAATAAATTCTCTCTCTTTTTTGTTTTATTTTATCGGAAACAAATGGATGCCAGAGACCCCCACTTTAAAATTTGAACTTGGATACAGTGCCTTCTTCAAGTAGGGAAAAGAACGGGATGGGGCACGACAGAATATTGATAGAGAATTGTTTAGACCGTTTGAATGGAATTATTTTCTTTTTTTTTCTGAGTTTGGACCGTCGTGCGAAATGCATTTCCAATAATGCAGGAATACTTCTCACTCTGTGCAAAGTTATAACTTGAACAAGGCAGTGCCTGGCAGAGAGTGTAGGCACGTGTACGTGGTCAAAAGTATACCGTCACAGTCAAGAAAATTCTAATGATTTACTCGCACATTGAAATCCATATCAATGACGGTGGGTGTGGATCACTAGAAAGGGTATCCTATCCAATATTCTCCAACCATCCTCCATTTGTGTGAATAACCAATAATAATAATAAAGCGAGCTCTGTTTCAGCAGAAACCATAAGAAGAAATAACCATAAAATAATATTGGTCACAAACTATTTTCGTAATGTAACAATATTTTTTCCCCTCTTAACCCTGTACCAAATCTCTTCCTTGTTGTTGTTTGTGTTGTTTTTCTGTATTATTAATGCTTGGAATTCGCATGCAGGAGCACACTGAGAATTCTTTGCAATATCAGGTGTGTCCACTCACTTTATTTCACTTCCCTCTTCGTCCAAGCACCATAGCGCAGACTCCCATTAAGTCTTTTCCGCAACGCTGGTAAATTAACGTGGAGAGTTCACAATTTCATCGACCCTAGGAAAAATTTATATACAGTTGGGAGTAAATACCCACACATAATTCTGGAGAATGCCGCAGCGTCGTAGAAAGAGAATGCCAATTTCACCAGGCCCCATGCAAACACTAGAATTGCAATACCTTTTCTGTGACAACTTGTGGGTGAAAGAAAGAAAAAGAATAGAGAAACGAAAAAAAAAAGAATAAAGGCAACAACAAACAAAACGTTCTTAGAGCAAGAAATAATGACGACATTTGTAAGAAAGTAAAAAAAAAGGAGAAACAACTATTTTTGACTTTGTCTGGGTAAACCCTGTATTCCCCAACCCGTTTTCACAAATACATCTAAAATAATTTTTCCGGTGGTTTTTACTAAATAAATAACAGAACTGACGAAACGCAAGTGCTGAGAAGTCCTTTTAACCCGCCTTTCGTTCGAAACAGTGTGGGTTGGGTTGGGTTGGGTGGGCTTTTCAGAAACTTACTGTTAGGCAGACTGTAAAAAATAAAAAAGTAGAATTTGGTTTACCAAGACCCCATCAATATGTAGCCCCATAAAGTAAGGCTTTGCCATTCTTATCGCAAGCTTTCATAAATGTCATTAAACACTTTGGATTGAAAAATAAAAATAAAAGGAAATGTGCCCCATGCGCATAAAATCATTATCATTTTGTTTTGTTTCTTTTATTTTGTTTTGTTGAAATTCAAATATTATGAATTATATATACATATAGTGCAATAAGGACACCCTCGTTAAACAAGTAACACTTCTCTTAAGAAGAGTACAACAAATAATCAATCCTACACTACACTATCACACACGCCTTCTCTCTACTATTCATCAACTCATTCACTATCACGAGAGTCCCACACGACAAACACCGTCCACTGGGTTATCACAGAAACGCCCATAAGAGAATGAAATCTGCACGTCAGAAGAGTACAGCATTCGTAACATCCAAATCCAATTCCCATGATAAAACAAAGGATTACACACTGCCGTTTTTTTTTGTTTTTTTAAGAATCACCATTGCAACCATGTATTGTTAATTGTACACTTTAATGTGCAAAAGCAAGTGATACACAAATATCAAAAAAAGACGGGAACCATTACCATCCTTGTTTCCATATGCATGGTATGGAGTTGGCGACTGACTCCAATGGTAACCCTCAATCTTTAGAGTTCCTGAAAAATAATACACTCCCCCTTCCATACATACCTATCAATGAGGTGCATGTAATGAATATGGCAGAAAATATCAACCTCTTCCTTGATGATAATGTGTTTATTATGACGGAGAAGTGTACGCAACAATCTACACCCCACTGAATAATGGTAGAAGGAAAAATTGTCAAGGAATCGTTCCAAGTAAACTAAATAAAAAAATAAAAGTGGTAAATGGCTAAATGAACCACAAGTATCATTGCTGCATGTAGAGATCGGTATTCCATCCATTTCCCACTCTAAAACAGTTCCATCTTTCACTGGATGTGTGTCTTGTATAATTTACAGTTACATGTGCTGCTCCGTGCAGTCAAGTGAGAATTGTGATGGAAATGGACTCCCAAGAAAATGTAACGGGTGGATCCAGAGACAAACTCAACCATCATCGCATTACAATCTTTTTTTTTTTACCCAAATTTCTCCCCTTTCACACTCCCAACGACGAATAACCTCATTTTTATTACCCAATAATACAGATATTATCCATCCACACTTCCAAACACAAGACCAATGGTTTTGAAACTATCCCATTCAGTTTTAACAACTGCAGACATTCCCACAATGGCTAAAGTCACGGCTCTGCATAATGTATCATCTCACCTTGTGCCTCTCAGGTGTCATTAGGTGAATTCCACAATAGAATTAACCACAACCCAGCATCACATGAATCCCTAAGCATCGGGAGAGAGTATATCACTTGGAAAAAAGGGAAACTCACTGATACAAACAAATACCACTTTTGTTGGAATTCCTGGGATACATTAGCATAATCCCTCTTGAAAAGATAACACTGAGTGACAAGTACACCGTACCCACACACACACACACACAATATGTTTAACACAAGAAAAGGGAACAGACATGAAATTTCTGCACTGAGTTGTGGGCAATCATCCGTTTGCAAATCCATAACCCAAACAGGCATACAATAAATTAAACCATGACATCCATTGCATAGTGTCCTACAAATAATAACACTGAAGAATAATAAATTATGAACAAAGGTCTCACAATGGGAAAACAATATATATATCACAATCAACATAATGGTAAAAACAACCTTTGTGGTCCGATTTAAATTTACCCAACCCCTTTCAAAAAAAAAAAACCCAAATCACTTCACTGATCATGGGAATACAAATCCAAAATTGTTCTTTCAAATAATAAAAAGATGGCAAAAGGAAAAACCAAATATTTACATATTTCATAAGCGTCTATTCCGTTGCGCTTAACGCACAACAAGGGAAACGATTACATGCAAAATAATAAATTATCGCAAGCCTCTACCCATTAATAACCCAAAGCACTTAAGGGTGCATATTCCCTTTTACAAGCTTCAAGTAATAAACCCAACACAATTGCAGTTAAATGAGACCAGTAACATCCATACGATAGTACACTCACAGCTGTAATTTGACGTCAATGGACGAGTGGATGCACTGCTAAATCATACGCAACAAATAGCAAAACAAAATACGGAATGCCAACAGAAATATACATATTATATTGGATCCAGCAGAGAATTAAACACATGTATACATAGACAGGAATACTCTCAGAAACAACAATAACACAACCACAATAAATGCAATATCAAGGGCTACACAGCAATAACAAGAGCAGCGGCACCTACTGCAGTCAAATCCAATCACAACAGCTAGGGGTTTTAAACAGTGGTAATGTGTGACATAATGTCATTCTCAGTGTGTCTATCGCATAGAATCCTTGAGAGACCTGGGAAGAACAATGAGAGAGAAAAAAAGGGAAAAGAAGCAACACATATAATAAACAATACAAGAAAAACATCATCTGCATAGAAACAACCACAGAAAAAACATAAACACATAAACCTTCTTCCCCAGATCATTTTTCATTCAATAAAAAAGAAACCCATTAAAAAAAAAGCCCAATAATAAAAAGGAGTCCAAGTTCATGTTTACTGCTCATCCGACACTGTCATCGTTCTCTCACCATATTATATGTGTGTACTCCATTGTATATAACAACAAACAGTTGGATTCTGCAGAATGCGTATAGGAAGAATTAAAAATTTTCAGAAAATGAATATAAAATCATAGCAATAAATCATAAACAATTAAATGAAATTTTCCAATGAAATGAAGAACGCTTGAAAAAAAAGAAGAAAAAAAAAAGAACGGTCAATGTATTGCGGTATATGGGATTTGATTCAAAGGACCGTATTAAGCAAAAGTGTTTATTATTGCTGAATATGGATAGAGCTCTTATGGAACCATCACAAAACCAACAACACACATAAGAAGTGCAAGAGGGACCATGTAGGAGATGACCATGATGCTGCTGTCAGGACGTCTCGCATCATTTGTATGATTTGGTTTTTCTTTCATTTGGCCCTCAGTTAAGTTTGTCCCATTGGGATTAGATGAGGATTGAGAAGTAGCAGCAGCAGCAGCAGCAGTATCATGACTTCCACTGCTGCTCACTGAACTCGGAGAAGCCGAACTGCTGTTCTGATCATTTCCTTCATCTTCTTCTTCCTTCACAGGAATAACATCACCTTTGTACCCGTTAGTAACTTCTGTGCCATCGTAAAACTTTATGTTAGTAGGAGTTTCAGCTTCCAGCAACCCAGTGCACACTTCTTCGAATTTGGGACACTCAATTTTTCCACCACTGAACACTGAACCAGCCACAACATCAAAAGTTTTCTTGCCATCGCTGCAATCATGCCAACTCTCCTTCTCATTCTCACCTTTGAGCAGTACACTCACCTTCTTCGTTTCTTTCTCACACTTCACTTTTGCACAAATGCCATAAACCTTCACTCCATTTTTCTGATCTCCCTCGCTGAAATTCACCGGTTTTTCCACATTCAGACACCGTGACATATTGCTCAGAATGCTGCCAGGCATCAAACTCTCCTCCCCACCCTCACAGGCAGTACCCTTCAAGGATCTGATGAATGGAACACCATTCATCAAGTCTTTCGCAATATGCGTTCCGTCCTTAATATATTTGTATCCCTCAGAAGAATCATTAATGCCGGTCTCATTTGAACAAATACCAAGTGCAAAACGGTCAGAGGTGCACTGTAGGAGCACCTTATCTTCTTCCTTGCAAAACAAATCGGAACGGGCAAACACTGTTAGATTCTTCTCAGCTTTAAGTAACTTACACATGGATACTTTCCCCCAACCCATCGGTTCTGCCTTCTCAAAAACTGCTTTGTAAAATCCCATGGAATGAAATGCTGCAAGTGTCAGTGCACTGTAGTACATGCCAGAAGCTTCACCAATGTATGTACTCATCAACTCATCCTTTGCAATTAGTCTCTCCCAGTGGGAAGGTTTCTCTTGGTCTTCTCCTTCATTTTCCAAAAACAAACCCTTCACTTGATCATCTTCTTTACATTTGTAATGACTCTTCAGCTTGTCGACAGATTTTTCAAATTTCACCATACGGGAAGTTTTTACACTGCTTGACCCTTGAGAAGATTGCAGATCACTGTTGTTGAGTTCTATCATTCCCAGTTTTTCCATAAGTTCATATTGAAATCCAAGACCATGCGCAATCTCATGTGCAGTAACGCGAATATACTGCCATGCGGCGTTTATCTCCTTTGGGATGAATTTGATGACAGCAGACGTTGGTCTCTTTTCATTATCCTGAGTGCAAATCTCAACTTTTTCGCGTTTAGCTGAGAGACCCACGTAAATCATAAAATCGACATCAGGGATCTTCTGAGCTTTACCCAAGGGATCCTTAAAGGGCCCGCACTTTTCTGGAAGAGGATTAAGTTCTTCGCTTATGATATTTTCACTTTTCCCCACCTGTTTTACCTTAAGACGATCTGTGTGCAGTTTGATGGCTTTAGGCAAGATATCCTTAAAAAGAGTATTCATCTTTTCCGTTGTCATTTGATTGTCACCACCACAGAATTCGACGGTGGGATTGGAATTACTCTCCGGACGCTGCTCTTTGCATTCTTTCAGAATATCCTCCACAAATTTTGTATACACACCAATGCGAATGGGCTTCCAATCCGGACCAGTCTTATCATCATCAGTAGTAGTGGTAGTAGGAGTAGCAACGGTGTACGCCTGTAGACCACTTTCTCCTTTCTGTGGTAAATGCTGCACAACAGCAGCCAAACACCCGCAGCTGCAATACAACAGGAACAGTGCAGCCCACAGCAGGTGACGCATGGAGTGTTTCTCCATTTTGTAGTGGTGTGAGTGTGTGTTGTTTTGCTAAGGTACACACAGAGTAAAGAGAAAAAAAAGAAGAGAGGAGGGAAAAGGGAGAGAATGAAAGATAAGCATGAATAGATATTATATTAGATCCAGCAGATAATTAAACACATGTATACATCGATAGTAATACTCTCAGAAACAACAATAACAACAACACGATAAATGCAATATCAAGGACCACACACATTAACAAGAGCAGCAGCACCTACTGCAGTCAAATCCAATCATAACAGCTAAAGGACGTAAACAGTGGTAATGTGCGACATAATGTCATTCTCAGTGTGTCTATCACATAGAATCCTTGAGAGACTTGGGGAGGGCAAAGAGTCACAAAAAAAAAAAAAAACAGCAACACATATAATAAACAATACAACAAAAAACATCAGCATAGAAACAACTACAGAAAAACATAAACACATAAACCTTCTTCCCCAGAACATTTTTCATTCAATAAAAAAGAAACCCATTTAAAAAACCCAATGATAAAAAGGAGCTCAAGTTTATGTTTATTCTTCCCCTTAAACTGTCCTCGTTTTCTCACTATATTATGTGTGTACTCCATTGTATATGACAATAAACAGTGGGATTCTGCAAAATGTATATTTGACCATTATAAAACTTCAGAAAATGAATATGAAATCATAGCAATAAATCATTAACAATTAAATGAAATTTTCCAATGCAGCGAAGATCGCTGAAAAAAAAGAAAAAAAAAAAAAAAACGGTCAATGTATTGCAGTTTATGGGATTTAATTCAAAGGACCGTAATAAGCAAAAGTGTTTATTATTTCTGAATATGGATGGATCTCTCATGGAACCATCACAAAACCAACAACACACATAAGAAGTGCAAGAGGGGCCATGTAGGAGATGACCATGATGCTGCTGTCAGGACGTCTCGCATCATTCGTATGATTTGGTTTTTCTTTCATTTGGCCCTCAGTTAAGTTTGTCCCATTGGGATTAGATGAGGATTGAGAAGTAGTAGTAGCAGCAGCAGCAGCAGTATCATGACTTCCACTGCTGCCCACTGAACCCGCAGAAGCCGAACTGCTGTTCTGATCATTTCCTTCCTCTTTTTCTTCCTTCACAATAATCACATCACCTTCGTACCCGTTAGTAACTTTGTTGCCATCGTAAAACTTAATGTCGGTAGGAGGTTCATCTTCCAGCAACCCAATGCACACTTCTTCGTATTTGGGGCACTCAATTTTTCCACCAATGAACACTGAACCAGCCACAACATCAAAAGTTTTCTTGCCATCGCTGCAATCATGCCAACTCTCCTTCTCATTCTCACCTTTTAGTAGTACACTCACCTTATTACCACTCTCACACTTCACTTTTGCACAAATGCCATAAACCTTCACTCCACTTCCTGTATCCCCTTTATTCTCCTTGAACTCCGCCGGTTCTTTCACATTCAAACACCGTGAATCTCGTCCGAAAAGACTGCCAGGCATCAAACTCTCATTACCATCCTCACAGGCTGTACCCTTCAAGGGTCTGATGAATGAAACATTATCCATCAAGTCATTCGCTTCCTTCGTTCCGTTCTGAACATATTCGTATCCCTCAGGAGAATCATTAAGGTCAGTCTTCGAGCGAATGCCAAGGGCAAAACGGTCAGAGGTGCACTGTAGGATCACCTTATCATTTCCCTTCCAAAACAAAGCGAAATAATCAATCAGTTTTTGACCACTTTCAACTTCAAGTAAATCACATATAGATTGATTCCCCCAACTCATCGGTTCTGCCTTGCTGAAATTTGCGCTGTTTTTTTTTTTTTTTTTTTTT